GCCTCCCCTCCCTGTCCCTCTACATCATCCCTGCACCTCCAGCGTGACCTTGAATCACCTTGTCCTTGAAGATGCTGGTTCTCCGCCTGGAATACCCTGGCTGCCACTCTGCACCTTAGATAATCTGGGTGTGGCTCCAGGTCCCTGTAAAGGCCAAGATAGATGTCCCTACTCTGTGTCCCAGTGCAGCCTGGAGTCACCCCGTAAGCATGATGTTCAGGGTATTTAAGTCCTCTGCCTCTCTGCCAGCTCGTTATGGTACCAACCAGGCACCAGGCAGTAGGAACGGAGCCCAGGAGTCCCCAGCGATGCCTACAGAGGGAACAATGGAGATCATTCGTCCCCTGGTGTCCTCTGCCCAGCCAGCCCTCGGGTGGCAATACCTGCACACAGACGTAGGTTCCTCCATCCCAGCCTCTCCCCACAACCATCTGCTTCTGGCGATGTCACGTGGCGCCCCTCCTTTGTGCCTGTGCTCTGGTCTTGAAGCTGACAGGCTGTCTCCCCTGCACCTGCTAGGTTCCCACTTCAGTGCCACATGGACCCAGGACAAAAGCCTCCCAGGGGTTTGAGTAGTTGGCAGGGCTTGGGGCTAGTATTTGAGTTTGCTCTGGTGACCGTGGGCATCCACGTGGGCCTACAGCGTCAGCTTTAGAGAAAGGCTGGGGGCCAGGATCTGAGACAGAACGGCCTGAGTTCCAAGCCTTGGTCCTGCTTCCTACCAGCCACGTGCTGTGGGTAGCGGGTCAAGTCTCTTTGTGCCCCATCTCCTTGTCTGGAGGTAGGGAATAGAGTGTGCGTGCCTCACTGGACTTTTGTTGGGGAGGAAGGAGATCGGAGCTGCGGTTACTCTTGTAACCAATGGTAGCCTCCGCCAAGGGCCTCTACTCCGACTGTACCAGGGCCTGAACATCTGGGATATTGTATTTGTTCATTGCTATAATAAAACGTGTGAGGGTAGGTACTTATAAAGAAAAGAGGTGTATTTAGCTCACAATTTTGGAGGTTCAAGGGCCAGCAGTGGCATCAGCACAGCTGTGGTGAGTCTTCATCGTGGACGGCACCACAAGGGCAGGAGGGTGAGTGGCAGTGAGGGAGGGCACCACAGGACAGGAAGCCAGCAAGGCAGGGGTCTTTTGTAACAACTTGCTCTTGCAAGACCTCACTCAGGGCCTCAGGAGAACTGCATCATCCCTTCGAAGGGCATGCCCCCGCCCGGCCCCTCGCCACCTGCCGAAGCTACCACACCGAGGACCAAGCTCCCAGCACATGACCCCTTGGGGACAAACTCAAACCGTAGCACATTTCCCATCTCCATTCTGCCAAGCAGGGCTCTGGGACTGGACATCGGAATCGCTCTGCGATTTCAGGCGAGTCTCTATGAGCCGGTGGTGCCTTCCAGGAGAGATGGAGGCCCCTCGCACCAGACAGGAGGGAGCCCCACCTTTCCCTCCCCAGAGCATCTCATCGGCAGTCTGCTTGGCCCACCTCAGGGAATAGCCCAGGGGTCAGCAAATGACTGTCCTTGGGCTGCATCCAGCCCCGCCCCCTGAGTCTCAAAGTTTTTCTGGACCTTGGTTCATCTGCATGTTGTCTGGGCTGCTTTAGCGGGACAGCCGCGGTAGTCGCACAGAGACCATGGGGCTCGGCAGGCCGGCCAGTTCTCTGTGATCTTAGAGGGCAATTTGAGATGAAAGGGTTAAAGGTGCATGTGACGGGTAGCCCAGGGGCCCGAGCACCACGCCCGCCTCGTGCCACCCATCCTGACAATTGGTTGCTGGGGCCAGATTGCATTCCATCCCCCATCCCAACCCTAGCACTCACGCGCGTCCTCAAGTGCCTCCACTGTCCACGGGGAACTGGACCAAGAACTGCCGGCAGCGGGTGGAGCCCTGGTGTACCCCAGAGGGCAGCTAGAGGCCTTGGCGAGGGGCAAAGCCACTGGCCCCATTGATTACACCCAGTGAAAGCCACTGTCCTATTCAACGTGTCCACTGACCACACTGTCTCCGATCGCTCCCTGGCCAGGCCGCTCCATGCTTGAGCTGGAGGGGTCTACAGGCCGTGTCCTCCTCTTCCTCAGGTGCCTCCACAGCCTCCCACGGCCTCAGGATACAGCCGACGCTGGAATACGGACACACAAGGCCTGTCCTGGTCTGGTCTCTGCTGGTCTCCCAGCCTCCTGTCCCCTACCTGCTCAGCCATGTGACCCCCAGCACTGCCACACCACTAGGGCTCCTAGACAACCCTCTAGCTTGTGGCTCCTTTGGAGTCAACACACAATCATCCTTCATGGGCCACTCTGCTCCCCCGGTCCCTCTGACAAACCTCCAGGTATCTTCAGGTCCTCTAGGTGACATCTCCTCTATGTGACACCCGAGCTGTCCAGGTAGCCTGGCCCCTCCAATGTGCTTCAATTTAGTCGTCACCAACCTTGGCTCCCAGCCCATAAACACCCACTGGCTGAGTGAGTGAGGAGGACCCCTTTGGGAAGGTGACCAGATGAGGAAGCGCAGGGCTGTCCTCCTCCTCGGGTTCCAGCACAGGGGACAACCCCCTCGGAGCCAGACTACTGGGTGTTAGGGTCTGCAAACAAGTCGGATGGCGCCTGGCATTTTGCCAGAGGGAGTGGTTTGTGAAGTAACACCAGCGAGCCATTAAGTGTGGAGATTCCTTATTGGTTGACTGCTGTATCTAGTTTATGCTAATTAGATAAGCTGTGTGGAATGTGTATATACCCCTCCTGTCCTACAATAAACGGCTCCCACTCCTGCTGTATCAATCTACACAAGTTCCTCGTCACCCCCTGGTTAGTTTGCTGCAGCCGGACCGCGGCAGTTGGTGGCCCGTCCAGGGAGCCCCAGGACACTCGGGGGTAAGTGACGAAAAAAAAAAGCTGCCTGTCCATAGATAGGACGGGAGCAAATCTGCTCGTCCCTAAGCAGACAGGGCGAGAGAGAGAATGACCATTTTAAGAAAATGGAGAAGATTGATACAGTATGTTTGTGTCTTGTTTTTGTCTTGAAATGTTGTATTGTCTTTGTGACGAAAATATGGAAATAAGTAAATTACTAAGGGAAGAAGGCACCCCAGTGGAACCAAGAATAGTTGGGGCATGTGTTGATGGAAGCCCAGGAACTCTAGTCAGAAAGAAGAAAGTTCAAAAGAAGAAGGATTATCAGGAAAAAAGTTGCAGCAAAAGGCTATTACTAAATACTGGAGGGTGCATGAATCGGCACAGCTGCTGCCACATGCACGAGCCGGTCTTGGCGCAGCAAGGACTTTCCAAGGGAGCGGGACACCACTGCGAGAGCCCAAATCCAAACCTGACCCGGAGGCACAGTCTCGCAGGCTCTTGCTCCCTGTGCCCAGTGGCAGTTTGAGTCCTGAACACTCCCCGGACTCTCCCTGGGGCCATCTGGGGCTGCCCAGGACACTACAGGTGTCCTGGGCGTCCCTGAAGTTTGATCATTTCCAAGGCCAGTAACTACAATGGTTCTCCCACACCTGGAAGCTAATGAGTAATGAGCACTATTAAGGCTTATTTCAAATGTAAAAAACCTTGAGATAATGTACTAAATTGTTCAGAAGGTTGTTTTCTTAGTGCCTGCTGGAATACTACAGGATTTTCTTTAACATCATTGCCGGAGTTCCTACCTTCGTCCCAGTGCCGGTGAGGACGAGGGTGGAAGAATTTCCAGTGTTGCTGAGAACCAGACGAGACTTCGAGACTTCGGATCAAGCTAGCTGCCTGCAGAACTTACCTGGACTGTCATTTAGGCTAGCTGCCTGCATAACTTACCTGGACTGTGATTTACCTGGACTGTGAGTTAATCTATTGAGACACTGCTTTACCTGGACTGAGACAACAAACTGTAATCTACAACAAATTGTAACTCGGTATCTTTGCTAACGGTGTCATTGCTGGTATAATTTTTCCAAGGGCTTCTTGCATGGAGCCATCAATTGGCTTGGTATCATGGCATTTTGTATCCTCCCCTTCTGCTTGTAGAAGATTGTGGTGTTTGTGTAAAAACCACTATGGTCATTATTTAAATTAAACAAAAGGGGGAAATGTTAGGGTCTGTAAACAAGTCGGGATGGCGCCTGGCATTTTGCCAGAGGGAGTGGTTTGTGGGGTGGTGCCAGCGAGCCATTAAGTGTGGAGATTCCTTATTGGTTGACTGCTGTATCTAGTTTATGTTAATTAAGATAAGCTGTGTGAAATGTATCTATACCCCTCCTGTCCTACAATAAACGGCTCCCACTCCTGCTGTATCAATGTACTCAAGTTGCTCGTCACCCCCCGGTTATTTTGCTGCAGCCGGGCTGCAGCCGGACTGCGACACTGGGTGAGGTTGGCTCTCCTGTTAATTGGCAATGACCTGGAGCCAGTGACTTGATCTCTCTGTGCCCCCATTTCCTCATCTGTAAAACAAGGGACATAATAGTGTCATCTTCACAGCTTGTCATGAACATTAAATGAGCCCATACGAACCTCCAAAATCTGAAACGCTCCAAGATCCGAACCTTCTTGAGCAGTCGTTAGCCCCTAAGTGGAGAATCCCACACCATGAAGCCTTATTTCATGCTCAAGATGGCTAAGCATATAAAATCACCCACAGACTATGTGTGTGTAGACTGTAAATGAAATATAGACTAATTTCATGTTTTGATTTGGGTTCCATCGCCAAATTATCTCATTATATATGTATATACAAGTATTCCAAAATCTGAAAAATAAAATCCAAATCTGAAGCACTCCGGTCTGAAGCCTTTTGGGTAAGGAACACTCAATCTATACATCTATCATATTAATATATAGAGAGAATTTATGTCACACATATGTGTGTGCATGTGTGTGTGGTTGGTATCTTGGAAGAGAACCTGTGCACACACGATAAGCATATTAGCTAGTGTGTGTGCACACACGTGTATGTGTGTGTGATACTGTGGTTCATGATAAGCACTCTACAAAAGCCTCTAGTCTGGCTGGAATTTATTCTGGCTTTTATTAAACTTTCTTTTTTTTCAATTTATGATGATTTTTCTCTCTTAGTCTTGTTTTTCTCTGACCTTCACCAGAGGAGGAACTCCTGGGGGCAGCACACCTGTCTGGTCTACTTCTGCCTTCTTGGCACCTGGAAGCATGCTTTGTTAAGTATTTGGGAACAAATGAGGAAGCAAATCTTACACCCCAAAGCCAGACTACCCCGTGGTCTCCTCCCTGATCCTCCCTGCTGGCCCCCTCCCCGCCTCTCCAAGTTTATAGGAGACTTGGGGGGACTTTTCGGGATATCGGGTCTCCACAGCAAGAACACATGATCTCATGTCACCGTCAGCGAGAGGCAGATGGGCACCGGGGACCCTCAAGCGAGAAATGGAGTCTCCAGACTGACTCTGAGGAAAACGGACTCTCCAGCTGACCCAGGAGATGTCTATAATGAGAGAAAACCAATTTAAATGCAAATGGCCCACTTTGTTGGAGAAAGGCCCCTTGCTGCAGAGAGGCCACAAAACAAACGGCATCGGCATCGTCCCCAGGCCACTCTGCCATTGGACAGGAGGGCTGCTTCATGCATTGAGGATTAAGTTCTGAACTAGTGACAAAGGGTCACATGTACTGTTGGCAGCCTTCCCCGGTGCCACTTGGATGTCCCCACGGGCGACAGTCTTCAGCCACCACCATTTGTGGCACCATGGCAGGTGCCAGATGTTTTGCAGGACAATGAAAGAGGCACCAGGCACAGGAGCTGCCCTTGCTTGGCCCATGCCCAGGGGTGGCACTGAGATCCATTCTGGCCACAGTGGGAACTGACACCTCGTTTGCGCAACTATTTTGGACCCAGCGAGGCACTAAATCTAGACATGGAAACAGCCCACCAAGTTCCCTCAGCAGCCCTGTGATGTGACCTGTTTCCTAATTTCACAAGGAAACCAAGGTCCCAGCAGGGTACGACCCTTGCCCTGGTTACTGGGATTCAACCAGACAGAGCCCTGCAGGCGGTGACCCCAGCCGCTGCAGAGCAGCCCCCCGGGGGCTCTGCCCACGCTGAGCTCTCCCTAGATCCAGGCACCTGTCCAGGGCATCTTCTTCTGGCCAAGGGGCCCGAGGCCAGGACGTCGAGAGACAGTCTGCCACTGGTCTTGACCTGGGGCAGCAACAAAATACTATTCGAGGAATCCAGCCCCATGGGCTGCTCTACAGCTGCCTGGCTGTACAGGCTTGGGGTCCTCTCCCTCTCCGAGCCTCATCTCTCTGTAGGAGACGAAGAGCCCCACGCCATTCCTGGCTCTATAAGTGCAATGTCCTGGTCCTCCAGCTCCTCTCGAGAGCGGCCACTGCTCCTCCTTCCTGCCCTCTGCCCGCCATGGCCCTCTATCTGCTGGCCCATCTCTGTTGGGTTGAAGACTTTAATCTCCTCCTCTAGTTTCTTGACTCAAGGAAGGTGCCATCTGCCTCACTGAACCCAGGCCCTCTGCTGGCCCCCTCTCCAAATGAGGCCTGGATACAGGTTTCATCCAGTTCGTTCCATGATGGAGCTGGTGAAACCAAACAGGGCGCTTTGCCCTCGCGGGCTCTGCTGATCACTGACCTGGGGGCCCAGATGGCAGAAACTGAGACCCAGAGGCTTTAAAAAATTGCCAACAGCCGACCAGCCAGGGAAACACAGAGGCTGGATCTGAAGTAAGAAATCAGAAAAGACACCGGCTCAGTGTTCTGAGGGCTCGCCTTGGGCTGAGGCCACACTCCCTGACTAAACACGCACACAGCTCCTCTGGCCTGAGCTGCTCCCTGTGCACAATGTGAGCTGTTTGTGCAGAGGAGCCAGCTGTGGCAAGGCCCTGGGGGACCCGCTTTCCTAGTCCAAGCAGCAGGTACCAAGCCAGACACAGAACAGACGTCATCCTTTTAGGTAATGACGGAGGGAGTGCGGTGAAAGCCGGGGAGGTTGGTCAGGAAGGCTCCTGGCGGATCCCTGGAGCTGAGCTTCAGGGTCTCGCTGTGGGCACTGTGGACATCTGGGGTCTGACAGTCCTCTGCGTGGGGCTGTCCTGTGCATTGCAGGCTGTTTAGCAGCGTCCCACGAGATGCCATAGCACCCCCAAAACCAGACAACAAAAAATGTCTCCAAGTATCACCACGTTCCCCGGGGGACAACCACCCTCTGCTGAGAACCTCTGAGTCCTGAGACCCACAAGGCAGCAGGTGGAGGGGAGGAATAGCCAGGCAGCCTGCGAGCTCGGAGCTGAGAAGCAGCAAGGGGACCCGTTGGGCCAGCGAGGGACGGCACGTCTGTCATGGCCACACACTCTTAGACCTCTCTGCAGCACTCAGCAGCCCCAAGGGAGCCTCTGCTCCGTGCCCAGCATGTGAAGGACACAGTGCACACTCCAAGGGGTGGACGTCGGGCTGGCTGGATGAGACACCCGTGTGGCCGTTGGCACAGGGCCCCCCCAAGGTAGCAGAATATTGGGACAGAGGCAGGCAGAGAGGCACGAGGCCCTGGTGGAGCAAGGGATGGGCTGCTCTGGGAAGGGGCTGGGGGCGGCCGAAGCTTCCCTCCTGCACCTTGCCCTCAGTCTCCACGCCCTGCAGCTCGGGTTTGGTGGAATGCCTAACGACAGCGCCCCTGGCCTAGCCAAGGCGCTGGCACGAAACCCAAGCTTGGCCCTCAGACTCTTGCTTCCTGGAATCAGAACACTGGGCGGAGAAGCCCAAAGGCATCAAGTGGCTGGAATCACTTTGTCTAATGGGTACGGAGCAAAGGCCGTCCGCATTCCTAGGGCCGCTGCTCTTCTCTCTCTGGAGGCCCAGCTTTTCCTTCTCACACCCTTTCAGTGGGCCTCTGCCAAAGTCGCCAGAGCAGGTCTCTGCTGCATGCAGTGCCAGCTAAAATAGAACCTGCGCCGTGAAGAGGACTGAGCGCAGGAAGGCTTCCCACTCGCCACCCTCACCCCTCTGTCCCAGGGGGCTGTGTCCCTCTCCCCAGCTGCGGTCAAGCACCACTCCAAGACCTGGCCTGTGTCCTTTTCTTTACGTACCTACGCAGCCCAGCTCCGGTTGGCTTATCCTTCTTTGAGCTCGTCACAGTTTGTAATTATAGTCCTTCCTGGGGATTGATTCCAGGCCCTTGGTAGACCCTCAAATCCATGTGTTTATGTCCCTTAAAAAAATGGCTCTGTCTTTGCACTGAACCTCCTCCTTCCTCCTGTTTACTTTATAGCGCCTCTGAATGACTTACGATCCTCAATGCAGTGACAGTGCTGTGGAGCTGGCTACTGCATTGTCTTAGGGACGAGAGACAGAAAGGAGTCTACATGTGGTTGGTGCCGATGCCATAGTTTAAAACTGTGTTCACCCCAAGGTTAGTTGGATCCACAGTTACGGACCCTCGGACACAGAGGCTGACTCCGCAGTTTCCTTGCAGGTTCATTTGTTGAACATCGTCCTCTCCCACTAGTGGAAGCCAGGGTCACTTTTATTTATGGTACCAGGGATTAAACCCAGGGTCACTTAACCACTGAGCCACGACCCCAGATAGAAGGTCTGCTCTCACCCAGTGGTTGGCCAGCCATGCCAATGTGCCTTGGATGGGGAGTCTGGGACCATCAGCTTCCAATGTTAAAACTGGGAAAGTCACAGGTAACCGGGGACAGTGGCTACCTGCCAGAGTCTGGCAAATACAAAGCCATCGGGTACACACCCACGCAGATGCTCAGGTGTTGACGGCAGTGACGTGAACCATGGGGTGGCCCCGGGTGTTCCTGCATTCTTCACCCATCTCCAGTCCTGCCAGTGCCAGGTGACCCCCGGGCAGAAGCAGAGGATTCAAAGAGGGAGATCCTGGCAGCCAGAGAGGCACGAGGCCCTGGTGGAGCAAGGGATGGGCTGCTACACAAGGATGTGGGTTGGAAGGACCCAGGTTGTGCAGGCCTTGGGGGGCAGGCCAGGAAGTGTGGGTGCCATGCCCAGGCAAAGCAGACCCTCACCAGGTCAGGAGCAGGGAGGGGTCCTGGGAGCAGGAACCACCTGGGGATGACGCACGGGGCTTCCCCAGACTCTTAGGGGAAGGCGACCTCCGCAAGAGGTGTCTGCAGAGGCCACTGAAAGATGGTGGCACCTGGAGTCAACAGCTCCGTTCTGTGGTGGGCGGAGAGGGGGGCTTCTCATCTCCAGCGCACCATCTGCTCTGATCGACAAGCCGAGAGCCACCCCCGGGAAACGTGCACATACGGTGCGCATGTGATGAGTCCTGTCTTTGCTGCCACCTGGAGATCCAGCCACCCAGACTGTCCCCAAGGGCTGTGCTGTTGAGAGCCCCCCTTGCTCCATCAGTGGGTGAGAAACCTCTGTGTACCCTGAGTCCTGAACTCTAAGGCCACGGCCTTAGGAGGCTGGGCCTTTGGGAGCTGATAGGTCTCCAGGGAGGAACCCTCAAGAATGGGATTGGCACCCTCATGAAAGAGGCCCCAGAGCCCCCCTCGTTCCTTCCTCCAAGTGAGAGGCAGAAGGAGCTGCCTGTGGACCAAAAGGTGAGCCCTGGCCAGACACCCAGCCGTGACCTTGGGCTTCCCGGCTCTGGAACTGTGGGTAATACATGTCTATGGCCATAGGCTGCCCCGTGGGTGGCCTTCTGGGCTCTGGATGTAGCTCCAGGTGCAGCACCTGCTGGGCAGGCTCGAGGCCCTGGGCTCAATCCCAGCACCGCAGAGCGCGGCAGTTAGTGGAATCCTCTGACAGCAGCCAAACAGTCGAGGACGGAAGCCAAACTCCTGGACGGACTCTCACAGCTTCAGGGGCTGGGGATCCTCACAGGGCATTTCTCTAACACAGCTCCCTTGTCTCAAAGTGGAGAAGGAATCTTCCTAAAAAGATGAAATAAATGAGGGGCAGAGGGTTAGCTCTTCTCCCCTCACCTCTTCTCACCAAAGAACCGAGTCATTAAGAGATGGCCCCTTGTCCCCCGTGGGCACAAGACGATTCTAGAAAGTGAAAAGACAGAAAATAAAAACTCTGAATCTTGTGGTAAGGCACATTTTTTTTCCTGTTTAAATTCTCTTTAAATCTTTCTTATTACCCCAAGAAGAAATTCTCATAAGGTACTAATAAGTTTTTTAACATCTCTGTAAAAGGTTGACACCTCTCCAAATCTCCCTTTTAAATGAACGTCAAACTGTCTTTGATGGAAAACTGTAACTCTCTAGAATTTAATAAAATCATTTTCTTTTTAATCTTTTTTTTTTTAAAATCAGGGATTAAACCCAGGGTCACTTAAGCACTGAGCCACATCCCCAGCCCTTTTTATATATTTAGAAACAGGGTCTCATTAAGTTGCTTAGGGTCTCATTAAGTTGTTTAGGGCCTCACTAAGTTGCTGAGGTTGGTTTTCAACTTTGATCCTCCTGCCTCAGCCTCCAGAGCCGCTGGGATTACAGGCCTGCGCCAGCGCGCCTGGCTTTGTTTTATTCTCATGGTATTCCTTCTTCTGGGTAGCTTCTATTTGTGGTAGGTGATACTGCTTTTCCATTTAGGGTAGGGAGTAAGTTTCCCTTCTGAAGAAATGTATTTTAAGTTCTGAGACAAGTTAAAGGAAAAGAAGGGCAAGACCAGACCACAGGGTCTGCAGCTAGAGCAAAACCCTTGGTGGTCCTCCGACAACTGAAGTCGGAAAACAGGGGCAGAGGTCAGAGAGACCCTGACCCCGGGCTGCTCACCCAGGCGGGCTCCATTCATGCCAGTAAGCAAATATCAGGCCTGAACTCGGAAAGCTGGTCTCTTAACTGCATCAGAAACAGACACTGGGAAATGCTAGGAACTTCTTCATGTGACCTTGAACCTCCAGAAAGCCTCTGAGATGAGAGACAGCCCTTCTATTGCTGAACTTGGCAAAATACTCTGCTTCTGGGAAGGGCGTCTCCTCTAGACAAAGAGATGTCCAGTGCACGTCTCTGAATTTCCCATGAATGACCGCCAGGCCGGCAGCCGTCCACCACTGTGACAGAGTGCCTGAGAGAATCAACTTGTGAGGAGGAGAGGTTTATTTGCGGTCCCAGACTGGCAGGCCCTGTTTCCTGGGGCTTGGAGTGAGGCAGTGCGTCATCGTTGGAGCACGTGGCAGAAGAAGCTGTGTACCTCATGGGCACCAGGAAACAGAGCGACAGGAGGTGCCAGGGCCCCAACATCCTCTTCAAGCGTGCACCCCAGGGACCTAACTTCCTCCCACTCCCCCACCCCCTAAAGGCCCCTCCACCTCCCAGTAGCATCTGGGCAGTGATGGGGGGAGAGCAGCTCCTCCTTACCGGCTCCCTGCTGAGCGCTTCCTGTGCTTCTGAGGGCCTCTCTCTCCCTGAACCCCTTCAGTGACCCCAGACCAGGTGCATGCATACCCCTTACCTGAAATGCCCCGGGGACAAGTGTGCACAGACCTCAGCTCTATCCTCCAGAGGACACACAGCCACAGAATTCTCAAGTAAGCAGAGCCACACTGACATTTTCCCAATTGCATCAATGTGACAAATATTTACTGAGCACCTCCCAGGTATGGAGACTCTGCTTCTCGTCCCAGCCATTGGCAACAGGAGCTGGAGGCCCGTCCCTGGCCTCCCAGACAGGACCTCCTTCCTATAGACTCCTTAGGAGCGGCTTCGGGGTCTGGGTGAGTGGCTCAGGCCAGCTATGAGCCCGGCCAGGTGGGTCAGGCTGTGCACCTCCCCTTGGGTCCCAGCTCAGCTATTTTCTGCCCAAGCCTCTCCGCATCTACCTACCCCACCTTCCCACTGGAGGGGTAGGAGTGGAGAGGGTGCACGGAGGAGCCAAGGTGCAGTGTGACCACTCGAGCGAGCTCCAGTGTCCTGCTGCACTGTGGGGGCTGGCTGCAGCTACTCACCATGCGCCTAATAGCCAGGGTGCGAGGTTCCAGCACTTGGACAGGTACGTCTTCCAGGAGATGAGCATGCTCTCTGGTGTATTTTATTTTTTAAGCAGAAATGATTATGTGTTTGCTCCTAATGGCAGAAGTGTGGGGGTTCCAGAAGAGCACAGAGAAGGAAAGAGAACTTGTCCTATCCCTGACCCTTCCAGGCAGTCCCTTCTGGACGGGGAAACACGGTCACCACCTCATCTGCAATCCCAGGGCACCCTGCGGCACCAGGCACAGAACCAAGTCCTTGGAAACGCCCCTCCTTGGCCGCCGGTCACTGTCATCAGGGACTCAGCTGGCCGGGCTGGCCACTCACACTCACAAGCCGTTTATCTTTCCGTCTTCTCTCTTCAGCCCCCAGAACCCCAATCGTCACTCCCCAGTCCTGGTCTGTTTCTGAAATGCTCTTCCCTGACCTCCAAGGCTGGGTTTTTAGCGTGCAGGTCACGGTCAAATGTCACCTCCTTGGACAGTGACTAAACTGGTCCATCTTGCGTGGTCTCCTTCATGGTGTCGAACCAGCCTCAAAGGTCCCTGTTGAGGCCTGAGTTTATGTGTCCACTGCCTGACATCCCCCAAATAACACCCTGAACTTCCTCCCCAGCCCCAGGGCCCATGACAGCACCCCCACACCGACTCCTTCCTTACATATTTAATAAGCCGGTGGCCTGCGTCCGTGTATTCATAAGCAAGGGATCCTTCTGTGTTTAATGTTTGCCGCTTGGTTTCTTAACTTCCTGGGCTGCGACCACGTCGACCTCCAGAGGCAGGATGGCACTCTACTGCGGACACATCACCATGTCTAACGAAGCCTGTTCTTGGCTGGGTGGGCTCTTGGGATTCCCGTGTCTGTAGGTCAACGTGACACGTGTCTGTAGGTCAATGTGACACGTGTCTGTAGGTCAACGTGACACTCTACAGCCACCACCTTGTCCCCACACAGCTTCGCTCCTCTCGTGACCATCTCCTTAGGGTCAGTGCTCAGCTGCGGGAGGTGGGTGCCAGAGCTGCGTAGATCTAACTCTCTTGACCTGCGCGGAGGTCACACTGTGCTGGCCTTTGCTTTTGGCCCTGGCTGCTGGCCGTCTCGTGGAGTCTTCTGAGGGACCTGGGTGTCTTCGTCTCCTCGTCCCAGGGGGAAGCAGCCTACCATCTCACTCTGCCAGCACCTCTCTCCCCTGCAATGGAAGGGCTTCAGCACCTTGGCAGGGACCGTGTATGGCAGGAATCCTCCACACGGTGACGAAGAGGCCAGCAGTCACTTCTGCAGGCAGCGGGGCTTGCCACTCGGGAACCCAGCAGCAGCCTGCCTGGGCCAGACCCACCCCTCCGGCTCCCTCCGTTTCCTCTAAAGCCCTCCTGGGCTCTGCCAGCTGGCCCCTTTGGAATGCACCCTACCTGCCCAAGTCCTCTGGGCCTTCACTGTGTCCTGCTCCCTGTCACTTTGTGCTCCAGAGAGCCCCTTTGCCCTCTGGTCCAGTCCTTGGGATCTGTCCAGCCCACACCTGCTGGCCAGGCTTTCTCTGGACCCAGCCCTCTCTCCGCCTGTACTGCTGTGCCCGCTGCGCACAAGTATGCTCCAATCTCCACGGGTGTTCTCCTCCGGAACTCACCCGAGTGTCGCAGTCAGGACCTTTGGGAAAACCAGGGCCCCAGCGGAGCCTCCATCTGCCACCTGCTATCTCTGCATTTGGGAGTCTCAGCTCCCTCTATAAAATGGGGACTTTTCTGTGGCTGATCTGAGAGTGCTGCTCTGAGACTCCAGGGCACCCGGAACTTGGCCTTGGCCTTGCACCTGGCGCAGAACACTCATTAACAATGACGTGGGAATACTTACCTTGACTTTGTTTTTCTGCACTTCAAGGAAACATTTGTGGACTGGAAGGGGCAGGTGCTGCGTAAGCACCACTGTGCGCACATTCACCCTTGCTAACCAGAACCTGGGGGGCCCGATCCATCCCCCCCCCCCCTGCCCAGGTCCAGGGCAGGACAGAGGAAGAGCTGTCCCTCCTGGCTGTAGCCTTACTGAGAGTGGGGCTCAGAGTTTCCTGAAAGGTGAAGACATCCCTTCCACCCTGCACCAACCTGACAGAGGGGTAATCATGTCCCAGGCTAATCAGACCACCATTTGTCAATCATCTCCAGGCTCCAGATCCACTCAAGGGGCTTTTGAGAAAGGTGAACTCAGTTAAACCCTCACATTATCTCCATAAGACAAGGATTCTTATCACTGAAGAGAAAATGGGGTCAGGAATTTTAAGGAATCTGCCCCAGGGCGTGGGGGCAGGAAGGGAAGCCAGGGGCTGAGCCAGGATGAGGCTCTGAAACAAGCAAAAACCACACACACACACACACACACACACACACACACAATTTCTTTTAAACAGGCAGTTTATTTAGCACCTCATTTACAGACATGCTCCAGTGTATTCAGTTGGTGCTTAAAAGGAATTCTCATCCCATGGTGATTTGTTAGAGAGCTGAACCGGCTAACAGAGGTGTCACAGGGACGGTTTCTATTTCCGCTACCCTCTGCGGATCTCCAGGGAGATTTCTCCCCGCCCCCTGCTCTGGCGACAAGAGGTTGTTTTTCTGGGCCTGTGACTCAGCAGGGCTCCAGATGGCTTCTGCATTTCCAGCCTGGTGGCTGGCTCATCAAGTCCCTGGTACGTAAACTGAGAGTCAGACCCCGCCCGGCCTCCCCCCCAACCCCAAGACTTTGCAGCTCCCGTCAAGGTGGGCGCTCCTGCTTCCCGTCCAGCCCTGAGACCCTCCCAGGGGCCCAGAGCCCTTGATGCTTGACAGAGGAGATCCAGGTGTGAGCATTCCCTGAGGGCCAGCGAGAAGGTCAGCTCTTCTTGATCTTGGGATCTCGACAGCTTATGCTCTGAGCCTCAGCCACCCAATGAGGGTGCCAATACCACCCGCCTCTGAGGGCTGCAGTCGGTGCTGCCAGATAAAATACAGAACACCCTGGTAAATTTAAGTTTCAGATAAATGACAATTTTTTTTTCTAGCATAAGTATGTCCCAAATATTGCTTTCAGACTTAACTGAGTGCCCTGGAATTGTATTTGCTAAATCAATGCTGCGCAGAGCGGACTGGAGACTGAGCACTCACATGAAACGCTTTGCTGCCCATCAGGAGCTACGCGCTTACTAGGATCTTTGCCCTGAGATGTGCACCTCCACCATGGCGACCAGTGTCATCAGGGCGCTGCCCTGACCAGCAACCCAGGCAGGTGAAGGAGAAGGCGACCTCGGCCTGCAGAGTGGGGTTCGCTGACCATGCTGGGGGCACCTCAAGTCTTAGCCTTTGATGCTTCCACCTTTAAGCCCCCTAAATACTTGATAAGAAAATCAGACTTCACCCTTTGTTTGTTAAAAATCACATAGTTCATGTCCTGCACCCAGTTTCTTCCACTCTGGTGCCCATGTCCAGATCTGTTCCTCTCAAACATTAACCTGCTAGACCCCTCAAGGTTACATAACGCCTGTCAGATTTAACTTCACGACCAGCAGCCGTCCGCAGTGAACCATCTGAGCAGTGCTCGCTCCCTTTTCATTTCCCCTCGCCACCTTCTTAAGTGTATTTCTCTCTATTCTTCAATGGGTTATTAATTCAAACTGACGAAACTATATAAATTAAAAAAAAAAAGACAGAAAGAAAGAAAAAATCAGGAAAACAGACACTCCAAACTCGGCCTCTGCTGATCTTGGGGCTGATGCCAGGCCCGAATCCCCTTGTGATTCTGTGGCTAAGAAGCCAGGAAGAGGGTAGTGTCCTCGTGGGCCACGTAGGGAACCATGGTGAGTGGTGGGTGCACACAGCATGCAACTCCAAGATGCCCCAAGCCCTGCTTACCGGGGAGAAACAAAGGAAGAGCTAGCACACTGTATACAGCTCTCTGTATACAGCTCTCTGTATACAGTTTGTTTTGAATCTGAAGTGTCTCCTCCTACTAGACTCTGAATCCTGCAAGGAACTCGGGGATTCTGCCTGTTCTGTTCTCCTGTGCTCAGAACAGTGCGTGGCCCCAGAGGGTGGAATATTGGATGAACTGAAATCAGTTTAATGAGCTACCTTAAACAAAAGGAAATGCATTCAAAATCGATTGGAAAGGACCCTTCCTGGAAGTGATCAACTTCCCCTTCTTCTGAGCAATTTATACCACCTCCCAACAGGATCTCCGGTGTCCAGGGACTAGGGCTAAAGGCCTGAGTGGCTTGGTCTGCCTTCCCTAAAACACCTCAATGATCCAATGCCAAGTTTTTGATCTTTAGTAGATTTATCCTTGGTTCCTGTATTAGTCTGCTTTCTGTCATTGTAATAAAATCCCGGAAACTGGCACACTTATAAAGAAAAGAGGTTTATTTAGCTCATGGTGTTGGAGGCTGAAAGTCCAAATGGCATATTGCTGCCTCTGGCAAGGCCCCCTTCACTACCTCACCTTATGGTGGATGGCATTACAATGACGGCGACATATAGGGGAAGGATCCCTCGTTTGCCAGGACAGGAAGCCGGTGAGAGGGCAGGGGCTCTTTTCTAAGAGCTCATTCTCACAAGAACTGTCTGACGCCTTCTGAGAGCAGAGCCTCTCCGACCTCCCTCAGGGCTCCACCCCTTAAACGGTCCACCACCTGCACGCGTGAATCACGCCTCAGAGACGTGAGCTTCCGGGGGACAAACTACATCAAACCACAGTGGCTCCCAAGGCACGAGTGACCACCCAGGACTGGGAGAGTGCCTGGACTCCCTGATGGGCAGCATCGCCACAAGAGCATCTGGTTATGCATCACGTCCACTGTGCAGTCCAGGCCTGAGGCGAGGGCCTCCCACACAGGAGGTGAGTGGACAAGTGAGCGGGTGCCAAAGACAGGAGAAGGCCAGGGCAGGTGTGGTCCTCCACGCTCACCCTGGAGGGAGCAGGCACGTCTGCCCAGGGCAGCCTGCGTCCCCTGGGGGTGGAGCAGATTGGGAGTCGACGTCCTAACTCACCAACTCCGCTGGACGCCTCTAACCCGCGGCGACCCCTTTCCCTGTTTTCCACCCCAGAAAGTCACTACTCACAAAGCGTCATTTTTGTGAGCACTAGACTTGGCTAAATTTTCTGAATGGAGAAACTCACGTCAGCAAGTCACCCCCTTCAAAACTCCAAAAAAACCTTGGCCCATCATCGCCCATTTATATGGGTAGAGAGTGACGGTTGGTGGCTGTGCGAAAAGCAAAATGACCGAATGTGAATCACGAACTCGGCGGTCACCGCAAACAGCCGTCCTGTCTCCGAGACTAGAACGTCAAAACCTCTCTCCCGGCTCTTCTGAGATGATGTGTTCCTGATAATGAGTCTCTTCCCCGAAAAGAAGCGAGTGTCAGGGACACTGCAGAGGTAGACAGCAAGAGGCCCCAGGTCTCCTGGCACCCTGGCTGCCACTCCGGCCCCTGGCTGCTCACGCCTACCTCTTGGGCTTCCTGTTGCAAGATATATATGACCCATCCTCGGTGGCCCACTCGCCCCACTCTGAGCCCCCTGCTCCCTCTGAGCCCCGCCCCGTGCTCCCCCAGGGGCTGAGCAGATGCTGCCTCTTAAGTGCAAAAGAGTTCCCCCTCGATGTCCATGAGATGTGGACTGAGCGGCCGACCCTGCCCTGCAGCGTCCCCAGGGCCTAACACGACCCTCGGCACATAGCAGGTGCTGGATAATATTCGTCAGATGAAGGAACAAATGACATTTTGGTTGCTCATCCACTTCAGGAGGAACTCCAGACCCCAGGGACGGCCGTCGAAGCCCCCTGCCCAGCTGTCCTGCCCACCAGCTCACCCCGGCCACGCTGCTCCTCTGAGGCTTTATGCGGCTGGTTCCGCGTGTGCATCGCTGTGTGCCTACTGGCTGCTCTTACAGGGGTCACGGTCCACTTTAATCCCTGAAGGACACATTCCAAAACCTCCGTGGATGCCTGGAACGTGGACAGCAGCAAACCCTGTGTTTTTTGTTGTTGTTCTAAACATGTTGGCTTAGGATACAGTGTAACTCATAGATCATGTACAGCAGGAGACTAACAATAATTACGAGCAAAATAGATCAATTAGGATAAACTACAGTAAAGTTATTTTAAACTTACACATTGCATGCTTCTAGAATTTCCCATGTGATATTTTCAGAACACAGTCAGTCCGTGGTAAATAAAACAGAAGGAAGAGGAACTGTTTGTAGGGGGTCACTGTCTCAGGAGACAAGGAACCAGGAACAGAGCCCCATCCCCTTGGAGCTGACGGGCCTCAGTCCCAGGGGATGCAAGGAGTCGGAGATGCCTCAGTCTCTTGGGAGCAAACTCCTATTCATCCGTCAAGACCCAGATCCCACGTCACCCCTTCAGGAAACTGTCTCCAGGGCCCTGGGCTGGGCGAGTACTTGTGCTCCCAGGACCCTGGGCCTTGGGCGGCAACAGAACATAGCCCACTCTGTGGCCCTGTGTGTCCCTCCCACCACCCTCTGAGCCCGAAGGGCCGGGAGTCCCGTGTCCTCCTCTCTGTACCTGCTCGGTCCACTGTGAAGCGGCACTTGGAAGTGTTTTGCCCTCTGTGGCCAGCTCCCCTCGCCCCAGCCCTCTCCCTCACTCTAGTTTCAGGCTGCCTCTGGGGCTACTAGCAAAACTGAGAGCAAAGCCCAGGAGGAGCGACCCGCCTGTTTGGGGTTGCTTTTCTGCCTATAGTTTC